TTCTACTCTAAGAAGTTCCTCAAATAGATCGCTTGCTTTTATAATACTAGAATGTACTGTTTTTAGCCGCGCAAAAGAGATTGAATTTTCAATAACCTGTAACACTGAGTTAATTATTTCATAACGGCTTATTAATTGATTCAAGTAATCTAGGATAAAGGGTGAATGACCTACAACTTTAATAAACAATAGTATTTCATTAATCTCATTTTTTAGTTCCCTATTTTGCAAATTGTTGTATTAAATTGTGTTACTAAATCAATATAAACCAAGTTTTGCTGAGCTATGCTATTTACCAATTTTTTTTATTGTGCTCAAGGGTTTTAATAATGGTGTCATAACGTTCGCGGTCAGAAGCATGTAAATTATCACTAATTGACTTAAATATTGAGCCTACATCGTTATTCAAACCTCATTTAGACCTTTGATTATTGGGAACTAATTCTTATAATTTTGTCGTTACTAGCTTAAAATGATTGATACTTGCTCGATAAAACCCGAATCTTGGATATTTGCAGACCCCAGTTTTAAAAGAAACATACCGAGGTTCGTATTCAAGTTTCTTACTATCATGTGACTGCTTTATTGGAAGCACGTGACAATCGCTGGAAATCAAAATAATAAAGTATTTAATTACTAGAGGTGTAATTTTTCTTTCTGGAATGTTTTAAGTGATTCGTATGAATTTTTTCTTCCATTCCCGTGGAAACTATTTTATGAACGGAATCTAATTTGGTGATGACAGTGGGTTTTAGGAATTCGTTCGCGATTTTCTGTTTATTGTCGCGATTTTTAATCAAGTTTTCGATTACAATTTCTTTATTTTTTTATTTAAATTTGAATACAAAATTTTTGTCGTTTCTTCATGTTACTGAATGCATCGATTATATGCTAAAATGGTATACATCATTTTTAAGTGTGCAGGTGATTTTAAATATCCTTGAGTATTTAAGAGACTAGAATGTTCTAGTAAAGTTGAATGTAATATTTCGACTACACTAAGCAAGTTGAAGATTGGATGGATGGATTAGTGGGCCTTATTATTTTCTGTTTAAGCATTTTTTTAATTTGATGCGCGACTTCTGCTTTATGTATATACGGATATCTGTAGGATTTTGTATATGCAGTTGTTTCATCGGATGTTGGAATATCGTACTTTATTTCCTTTGTGAAAGTTAATGGTGTGTTTTCATTGTAGAAAATATCAGAATATTCTCTACAGAGTTTTAATGTTTCCGACTTTTCTTCGTTATACATATGCTCAGTACGAATTGTGTTAGACAGATCAAATTTTGGTTCGGGAATACGGGAAAATTCGCAAATATTATTTAGGTCGGTTTGAACTCCTTATTGAACTGAACTGAACTGAACTATTTTTGTAACATTGGTGCTTCTAAGCTTATATCAGTTTTAATTTGTCATTTGTCAATTCCGACATCAGAATTAAAAAAAAATCAACAATAATTTTTTTGCGATAACAAGGCTATACCTTCGCGGCAAGTATCTCGCCACACCAAAACTAGGTAAACAAATTTCTCTTTCTTTATCGTTTGTGAACAAGAACAAAAACGTATATACATCTGTATATGCTTTATAGAGTGCCAATCATTCTATTTCCGGTATATAACTTTCTCAAGATGTTCAAGTTCTATGAGTTGGCTCCGATAATCTAAGGTACTTTGGGCGAACTTTCTCTGCTCTCCAAATGTCGGTTCCTAAAATCTGCTGCGGTCCTATCGGTGAAGTTTTCTTTCTAGAAGATTTGCCTCTTTTCCTTTTACATCAAAATTACTTTAGTTCGTCTCCGTCTCGATTTTGGAGGAGCGTGGTGGTAGTTCAAACAAATAGATTGTTTTTATTTTATCATTCTCATCATTCGCGACATTTTCATGAAAATTGGTAAATACTTGTACTTGTGATAATTGTATAAATTTAATGTAGAGCAAATTCCATCCTTTTACTTTTACTAAATGCAGCGACGTAAATCAATCAAATTAAATTAACCAAACAACATTTTGGAAGAAACAAACTTTTGAGGCTGTTGATCAATACGATCTGTCACACGTGTCCCATATGTTGGAAGGTATTACTTGAAAAGAAAGAAAACAAACACAAATTTTTGAGTTCCTATCCACATGTTCAATTGTTTCTTAACCTTAATGTATATATTGCATATTTATTTACTTCAACCAGATTGCTTCTAACGACGTCTTTGTTATGCCTGTCAGGAGGTAAGCTTCAAGATAGATGAAATGACCTAATCGCATAACAATATTTTCATTTTGTATATCTCTTGTATATCTCTCACCAAATTCGTTCACCCCACAAACAACCTGCTATTTAACCTAGTAAAAGGTGTTTTACATTTTTAAGTCGTTATAGCCCAGCACGAGACCCTTGTTATCGCAAAAACTCATAGGCTTCCGTTACTTGTGTGAGTTATGTCAGACTCTAACATGCTAGGTTTGCTAAATATATATAATATGTATATATATATATATTTTTGAAAACAGAGAAGATAATGGTAGCAATAGATAAGTTAAAGTCTGACCTGTCCCTCTTGACACGCAAAAGTGTAAGAATAATTAAAGCCCAAGTTAATTCTATGCACTGGGTCACGAAAGTACATTTGCTTTTTATTAGTTTTTTAGAGGTTGCTGCGAAATTTATGGGAAGTGCAGTCCAGTATTTTGAATTTAATTCGTTTTTCATAAAAGTTTTTTCTTGTCGGTCGGCTTCGGTCGATAAATGCAAACTAGCTTGTGTACTCCGAACTGGTATGTGTGGTTAGATGAAACTGATAATATTATAGTGGTTTTAGAAAGCTTACTTTTTCTGATAAGTTTCGTTTTATGGCGGCGTCAAATCACTAAATGGAAAACAAATCCCAACGGATTAACATTGTATATTCTTAAAATGGCAAATTTAACGGAATTTTGATTTGGTAGATTTGAAAATGTCTAAAAATATTAGATAAAAGACAAAAGAAGCTGAGACAAGCAAATTAAAATATTCGAATAATGGTTCTTCTGAATCTGTGTTTTTAATGCACTTGATACTAATTTACCAATTGTTTGTTTTGAGAACTTTGTTAGGTGGTTAGATTAGGTTTATGGACCGACATCTACCACTATCGATTCGCAGTTCACTACCGAGTGTTTCGAAAATGTTCCGTTAAAGTGACCGAAAAATGTCTCCTTCAAAAATAAAAATAATCCTTTCTTTAATTTTCGACCCGGTTTACGATAGGTAAATGAAATTTAGACCACAAATACGTTTGATAAGGCCATAAAAGGAATATAATATTTTAGCATTAGTAGCGTTAGCATTAATTGCAAAAACCTCAAAGAACTAAAAAACTTGTATTTTGTAACAAAAGTACCTTTTTTGATGCAATTGTTTAGAAAAGAGGTTTTAGCCAAATAAATATGTAAAATGAATTAGCACCAAAAAAAAATTTTGGGTAAAACTAGTAGTGACCCCCTCTACCGACGCCTCTGCATAAAACTTTATTTTATTGTTATCAGAATTAGTTTTTATGACTTAGATAAAGCTATTTCTGATCTAAATTTCATTTCGGTAACTTGTATAGTCAGAGACATACTAATTTTTGGCTCCTATAAACACTGGCAACAAAGCAAGCATTTATACTTCTGAGTATTTTTCCTCATGATTTACTTTTATCTATGAGCAGTAAGCATTTTTCTAGCTCTGTTTCAGATGAAGTTTCGATCAACTTTGGAGAAAAAGAAAGTATTTGCTCATAAATCATAATTCTACAGGATTTAAAAAAAAAAAACACGCGTAATGACTGCAATTAAGCTGATGGTGCTCATTTCCATCATTTTTTTAGTATTATTTTTTTAGAATTCAGTTTATGGAGTTTTGGCTTTTCCTTTTGGTTTATTCAAAGTTAATAACAAAAATTGCAAAAAGACAGTGGCGTACATCTCTTTGACAATGCTATTCGTTAGGATACCTCCCAGTCGGTACCGGAATTCCTCATTTTACTCTAGTTTAAGCAAAATTAGCCATTTTCCTATTTACTAAAGTAATTAGCTATAGTTTTATTCTTAGATTTGAAATGGAGAGATATAGTATTAGAGGTAAAATATTCTATTGGGTAAAATAATAGAATTATAAAACGAAATTAAAACTACAAAATGGGAAATTTCGTTAAATCAACTCACTCTGATTCCTGATTATTAAAAAGCTAAACAAAAAAATGCTGAGTTTGTAGGAAACAAATATCTCGGGAATTCCGTAAGTACAAAATTAAACAGAGTAAGTTATACTACTGAAGCTATCGGTGGTATATGATAACAGAATTCTCAAGGATTGTCTATTTTACTACATGGTATAATAGTTAGGGGTGGTGCTTCTGATATAATAAGAGTTTTCATTATACAAAAGAGGATCATAAGATCAATGAAAAAATGAACAAGAAGAAGCTTTAAGCAATTGCAATTTTGACTGTTTATGCAATATTTGTTTCGCATGTCTAATATTTATTTTTGTAAAAACGAATAGAAATGAAGTTTTATTATTATTACTATTATTATTAAGCGTACAGAAATATTTAACTGATTGTAAGAAAGATGTTATTTTTCTAAATATTAAACAATCCGTATCTTGGAAGGAAGAATTTTCGAACCTACTTTTACATGAACTTTTTTTTTCTCGGATCACCAGTTTCCAGCATATTTTTCGAAACGCCCTGTATTTTTTTCGCGGGTTGCGCAAAAAACATTTCCGTTTCGGAAACATTATTTAGCCCATAACCATTGCGCAAATAAAACGAAGTCTTTTTTATTGCGCCGAATAAGGGAAAACCCAAAAAGGCCCCCTGTTTCACTTATCCTCGTTTATTTTTATGCTCATATTACCCTGGCCATTCTCCGTCGACCGCGGCCCGGGGCCCAATTTCACCCGCGTTCCATTGTAATGCAAAATACCTGGGAAGACGCACTCAAGAATTGTATTGTTTATTGTGATTGCAGGTTGCGCATTCCTGACGTACTTCAATCCTGAGAGCGCCCTTAACTGCCAGAACGCTCTGCATGAGAAACACACGTTGTCAGGGGTAAGTTTCAAGATTCTCATCCGTTCGTTATCTTCCCGTTCTTTTTTGCTCTTTTTATATTATTGGCTTTTTTTTCTTCGGAGAGATATAAATTGTTTATGGTAACGCGTTCAGTTAAAATTGAGCTGGCTCACTTATGCTCAAGGAGATCTCGAATAACGATAGACTCTCAGTTCCGTGTTACGTGGATATTTTGGACATCCTGGCCACATACATGGTTAAGCAATGTTAGTGGATATTGAACTGAGGTGGCTTTTACTTGATGAAAATCCATTTATCAAAATAAATAAGCACTAAAAGTTCAAATTTTCACGAAATTATTCGTGAAAATCTGAACTTTTAGTTGTTATTTATTTTAGTGGATGTCCATACAAGTTTTAGACCAGATCTGCATATCACAAATATTTTATTTATTGTTATTTAAATTGCGAAAATTTAAAATAGGCAGTACATTTTTGCCGAATATTAATACTAATACCACAAAAGGTAGACTCCTTACTTAAAACAATGCAATAAGGATTCAAAGATTCAAATTGGGAAAGTTAGCAATCATTTAGACACAAATGATCTATTGTGACACTTTCCATAGCCATACCTCGTTGCCTCGCTTTAAATATTTTTCGCAAAATAGTCATTTGATAGGTATTTTAATGGCCAATCTACTTTCCAATTATCATTCTTCAGTATTTTCAATAATTCCCAACGTATTTTAAGAAAACATGAAGTTTAACCTATTGAATCTAGAGCTATGTAGAAAGACGCTAAAAAAAATAATTAATTAATTTTCAATTTAAAATAAAAATAAACCACCTGTCATTGACTACCATATAAGATTTTTTATTATCATCAATACCTAACCTAATGTATTCTTTGCCGAAATACATTGGAGAGACGGAACGAAAAATATTAACCGGACTGAAATAGCCTTAAGACAAAGAAATTGCAGTTGCTCAATACAATGTAATCAATTCTTCTTTAAATGAAAAATCCGAGAATCTATATAAATCTATAAGCAAACAAACAATCTTAGCGCCGCTCAGGTCCTTACTTGCCACCAATATGGGATTCAGTCTTGTGAAAGTTTCAATGTTCATGCCCCTCATTTAGCTCCGTCCCTCTCATACAATATATAAACAGGTACAGAGTAGAATGCGAGCCAGTTTCACTTAAGCTCTGAAGAAAACAACAAGTTCGCTGCAACTACAACCGGCGCAGAAAAAATTCAGAAGTATTGTAAATAGTATTACAATAGCCTGTGGAAGTGTCTTTGCAAAATGAAGACCTATAGTGTTGATTTAGATGTTTGGCTTACAGTTTTAGATATTTTAGAAATTTTTAAATTAAAGAGAAAACTAATTTATTTATATTTAGTATGTATAATAAGTATAAGTATGTATGTATTTTTATTCACAGGAATACACCTTAAGGCGCCGTGCTGATATTAATATAATCTCGTTGGTAATCTAAATAAGTAAGTCAACTAAAGCAAAACAAAAATACAATTTTTATAGTAAGTGTTGAAAATCCTACCCATCATTGAGTCACGCTGGATAGAATATGTCTGGATTAAATCTAATAATATTACAGCACGCAATTGTTTGATTTAATAGGTCTTCGATATCTTGTATTGGGGTAGCGTAGACTAATTTCACATACCCTCCTGTTATCAAGTTTTGGTCTCTTGGTAAAAGAGGTTGAACCTCTATACGGGGAGTGGATATAATTATTGTTCTTTTGTTGCAATTTTCCTGGTACTTGTCTCCGTTGGCCTTCAATTCCTACTCATTCAAAAAAATGTATATAACAAACTATGTTTTAAACAAGTTTCGAAATACCCTGTACAATACAAATTAAATTTTTAAATCGAAATTGGTACTAGACGTTGACTTAGTAAAATAATCCGGTTATGTTAATCACGTAACTTTTTATTAGAATTTTAAGTCATAATGGTTCGAATCAATTTTTTTAAGCATCACTCACTTAGACGACTATAAAATGTTTTGGCAAAAACCAAAGCAGAAAATGCAACCGAACAAAAACGTGGTGGACAGTCCGCATTTGTCGAAGAGAACGGCACCTCACCCGGTCGTCGAAAACCGGCCTAATATTCTCCTAAAACCGACAACGGCAACGTGGAAAATTGAATTTGAGTTTCCCTCTACGATCCCGCGGACTAAATTGCGATTGGCACAGTTGCCTTTGGAGATCTTTGTATACTGTTTGATGGGGCATTGTTCGTGCGTTCTGTCAATGTTGTTCCTATATTCCTGTGGGAAATTCAAAAAACCGCCTTTGTTGGCATATTCTCCATTGAGAGGAAGGTGTCGATATGTACGGTCGTATGTATGCCGGTGTGTGATGCAATTTTGCAAAGCATTTACTATTCCTATAAGAATGAACGTAAGCCGCCATTGTTTACAAGCGATGGAATAAGGAGGTAAATGCGTAGGGGTATTTTAAGGAAAATACGTCGCTTACTTTTTACGATGGCATTCAAGCTTTGTCAAAACGTATATAAACAAATTTAAAGATGCTTCGGGTTCCGGTTGTTGATAAGAAATATCGAACTTCTTGCTCCACTGCTTCTGCTTTCTGATTCTTTTCCTAAAAGTATAATAATTAATAGAAACGTTTTCAAAAATCATTTCAAAAGTATTGATTATCGAGTCCTAGACTTGCTCACAAGCTATTTATCTATCTAATAACAGTCCAATGAACAGTATTCAACTTAACCCATCTAACAACCCCCCAATGACTATATTAACATTTGTCTAAAACATGAGTCCTGGTTGATACCATTCGGCTAAAAAGTTGTTGAATATTGTCCAGACCGCTCTTTTGAACATATTTTAGTCCTCATTTAATCTAGTTTCTGGACAGTTTACTCGGACTGGTGTATCCTTCTCGAGGTAGGGTAGGTGACAGTCACCCACAAAAGTGTCAATAAAATGACGAAAACTTCTCTCTCGGGAAAGGACCTGGTAATTGTGATCCGCATTCGTATGTTGATTTCATAATCTGAGAGATCAATTGCTGGTGCTATACCCATATCATTTGAATAATGATAACTCGTGGTAGGTACGACTGTAAAAGCTTGCTGGACCTTCAGTACCCCCAGTGAACTACATTTATGGCCGACAGAATTACCAAAATTCTATAGGTTTTAAAACGGCGTAAGAAACTGTTTTAACAACGGAAACATGGAAACAAACTAAATGCGCAAAACACTAACTTTCTTGTTCGGGAAAAATTGGTGTGAGTCGCAAGAAGAGTGTTTTGTCCCTATTCAGGTGGTTGGTTGGAATTGCTTCCTAACGTTTTGCTAGCATGAATGACAAACTTCTTCAAAGCTTGTTAACCAATTTGTAAAATGAGTGTCCGAGAATTTCACAGATCGCAGAACGTACTCAAAATTTTCGCGGTTGCGTGGTGGTCTTTTCAGTTAAAGCTAATTTAAATTCTTCACTTATGACATAAAATTTGGCATTTCGCTTGTCATAGAGGATCATTGCAAAACTTCCACAATTATCTCGTTCATTTTGTTGATTGGTCTCAAACAAATGATGGTTGAACAGTATTATACAAAATCACACGATAGAGTAAAGTGATTCGGATTTAATTTTTTTATTAAAATTGGTAGGCACTTGATGATTGTGATACATCTGACTGAAACGTTGTGTAAACAAAAATAAAGACAATGAACAATGGACAATCCCTTAGTATTTCTAATTAAGAATAATACACTTTAATAACTCCTAAATTTAATCTCTGCGCGTAAGAGAGCTAACTATTCTTTTGATTGTTGAAGCGGTTTTTGCACAACTTCCTCGTGTGTCCTACTATGCTAAGCTTTGCCACTTTACGCGCCAATTGTTCTTAAAACAGACTCCCAGTACAGTAGAAGCGCGTAAGCCAATTCAAAAATAATAAACGACTTGCACACGTAACGACTTTCTTCGCTCATTCCAAAATAAACTTTAATAGCCCCATATGAACGCAGAACGAAAGAGAGTCGATGTTTCAAAGTTCTGCCAATACGGTGGCTAAAGTTAATCGACCTGATCCGGCCGAACCTTTCAACGTGCGTGTAAATTTTTTACGCGCACCGAAGCCGTGTTTAACTGAAAATGTTTCAGCGTTCGGTAATGTCGGGTTTACGTCGTTCGATAATATAAACAAATATGCCATGATTTGGAGTTAAAAAACTATTTGTGATTTTCAGTCTGCGCCCGGCTTTGTTTCGTACGTACACTGCGAGACGTAAAGAGAATTATACCAATCGTAACTAGGGTTTTCGATCTCGGGTTTTGTGGTAAAACTGAGTGCATTGTCTTTAATTTAATTCCGGTGAAAAATTTACGTGGTTTCTACGAAATCGCTTGTTTCAGTGTTACAGTGCTTTAATATTTGTCCACAAGCGATATGGATTACGATTTGCTGGTCTACCCGGATCTGTTGGCTTACTACGATTTGAGTTTGGTGAGAAAAATACGTTCATCAGTATTTCCTAATGTTTGTTGGGTTTGATAGAACTCCGTTAACTTGAATTTTATATATTTCAATTTGCTGAATTTAGATGCGGTTCTCAACGGAACGAATTAAAATTTCTTCAAGCACTGTCTTCATTAGTGTTCTCCTTAATTATTAAAACTTGCTTGTGTGCATCTGAGAGTTTATTTGAATTGTCAGCTGTATTGAATTTAAATCTTATTGGAGTAGTAGTAGGCAATTTTATTTTGTTACTTCTTTTGTTTAAAAATAACTATGTGCTCTTTAATTTTTTTTTTTGGATTTTCTATTTAATTGTATTGGAATATGTCATTATTTTACCTTATCAAAAAATAAAAATAGTGTGCGTCCTGAAAAATCAAAGCTGGCAAATTGCGTGGTGTCAGTTGAATGCTACAAGCAGAATTTTTGTTTTAAGAAATACCCAACGGAAACCTGAAATAGTTCGCACGTGCTCCCTTAATCGTTGTTTATTAATTAATCGTGGCAGG